GGTCCAGATATATCACACACTTCTATCTAAAGCTAAACAATATATACATATATTCATGATTCACATGCATTATTCACATGAGAGACAATTTCATGTGGTATATCGGAGGCCATAAAGTCTAAATGCATTATTGCAAGTGCATATATGACCATCGTGTAGTAAAAGTGCAGCTGGTTCACCGCTGACTAAAATGAATGTTTACACTCAGATGCCAGCATGATTACACATGCACTTTTATCCAAATTTGTCAAGAACACTATTCTATATAATTTGTAATAAATATATCTAACATAATATAAGAATGATTCTTTATATGGCAATTTGTAACTTCTTTTCAATGTAACTTCTTTAATAAAAATATTTTTAAAATAGTTTTATTTTATTAAAATATTATATTTTTAAATAAATAAATATCAGAATAAATTGGGATTACAACATGCTTAAATGATGCACAAATAAGTTTGCATTTAAATATATGTATTTTTCAAATTTAATTTAATTAATTAATTAATTAATTAATTTTCTTAATGTACTGTGTGTGTGTGTATGTGTGTATACACGTTAACATATAAATAATATTAAAATTATTTTGTATAACATTACCTATGTTTTTATAATTAATGTTATAAAAAAAACTTTTTAAAAGGCTTAATTTTCTTAATGTATTTTATGTAGAGATATATAATAAATATATAATTTACTATTTATTTTAATGGGTTAAATGGGTCAAAATTTGCCACAGACATTCACCTCATTAGCTTTTGTTCCATATTCTCTTATGCAACATAAACTTGCATTTGCTACTTGCTTTTGCTGCATGTGACCCTTACAAACACGTCAAGCCGTTGTTGTTTCACACTGCAGTTGCTGTCAATATCCCATCTCTACAATAAACCTGTTTTCTGTTCTTCCTTGTTTTATTGTCACACTTTCAGAGCCGATAGGGAGAGAGAGGGTAGAGTGATTGATCCATCTCTGTGGTTTAGCATTAGCGGAGGGGAGAGATGGGATTGAGAGTTCAGTCTCTCTGAAGAGAATCAACTTCACTCTGGATTCTGAATTCTCAAACACAGACACTCAAAGAATTAAGAAAAGTAAGAGGTGAAGAGAGGGTCAACACTCCAACTTTCTTATTTTTTCAGATAGATTCAAGGAATTTTACATCTATCTATCTATCTATCTGTCTATCTGTCTGTCTGTCTGTCTGTCTGTCTCTTTATCTATCTAATGTTCTGTCGTTCTATTGTGTGTAGGGGTTGAGGTGTTCTGGTCAAATGCCAGTTGCACTTTAGTGAAAGAGCAACTTCAGTGACGACTGAGCTGTCTCTATGAGATGTGCTGTTACAGAACAACAGACCTTTGTAAACCCTGTCAAAACATGACAAGAGGCCATTCCATGTTTTGTAGAAGCAGCATTGTGACACAGTGAGTTCTCACCCTGATCAGTGCTCCAGTTCTCCATGACTTCCGAAAGGTAATACGTGTAGCGCACAGCCGCACACCCTTGGACCCACAGGCGCAGAGCTGTCAAAGCGACAATGAACAAAACACTGGGTTAAACTTTAGAAATGCAACCTGATATTTTACAGATATCTGTACTACTTAAAAGTCTGTTTTCTACTTAAATATATTTTAAAGTGCAGTTTTTTATGCAGTATTTCTATGATGGTGAAGCTGATTTTCAGAACCATTACTCCAGTCTTCAGGGTCACATGATCCATCAGAAATCAATGTAATTTGCTGATTTGCTGCTTCTGAAACATTTCTTATTATTATCAATACTAAAAACATATGTGCTACTTAATATTTTTTGTGGAAACCATGATATATTTTTACAGGATTCGTTGAAAAAGAACTGCCTTTAAAAGTCTTTACTGTCGCTTTAGATCAATTTAATGTGTCCTTTCTGAATAAAAGTATGATTTTCTTTTTTAAAAATCGTATTGATCCAAAACTTTTGAACGTTATCTAAAAAAGTATTATACAAATGTGCTGTTTTACTGTCAACATGAAAATATTGTTTGAATATTTAATATTTTATTTTAATTAAGTTGTGAATGCTGTTTCATGACACGTATTATAATAATTCATATTTATTTATATTCATTCGCTCCCATGTTTTCTGCATCTCATCTCTACTGTGTCTTGGTGTACTAATGTAGTTTTTAAACATGGCATTGTGCACTATAAAGATTGTTTGTGTTCACCATTTATAAAGACTGGAATACAATACACGACTTTGCACAGATTTACAATCTGGAGGAGTCGATGCTATACAAGCCATGGGTCAGTCTGAAGATTTTGGATAGTTGGAGTTGAGTGATTTTACAGAAAATCACATGGTGTGTGATTGGCAAGTTTATATTAGCTTCAGGCTATGATTCAATCCAGTCATAGGATATCAAACTTGTTTGATATTTTGAGCCAATTTCATAACGTTTGTATTGTATCTCCACACACGTTTTTATGTTTTTGTGTGAGCTTGTTGTGTTCAGAAAGACTTCAAAATTGTGTGGTGTTTTCCAACCTAAAGTTGCTTTGGATAAAAGTGTCTGCTAAATAAATAAATATAAATGATGACATTAATGTCAAGGTGTGAATTTGGGCCCTTAAAATTGGATTGATATCAGGCAGATTCAGTATTTGGCTGCTTAGAATCAGCAGTCAGCCTCTGCTGGTAGATCTCGTAACTACACCATTTGGTTTCTCTATTGAAGTGAAGTGACATGTGACATGTGGCCAAGTATGGTGACCCATACTCGGAATTAGTGCTCTGCATTTATCCCATCCAAAGTGCACACACACAGCAGTGAACACACACACACCGTGAACACACACCCGGAGCAGTGGGCATTTTTTGCTGCGGCGCCCGGGGAGCAGTTGGGGGTTCGGTGCCTTGCTCAAGGGCACCTCAGTCGTGGTATTGAAGGTGGGAGAGAGCGCTGTACATTCACTCCCCCCACCTACAATCCCTGCCGGTAGGAGACTCAAACCCGCAACCTTTGGGTTACGAGTCCAACTCTCTAACCATTAGGCCACGACTTCCTGAAGGCCATTCAGAAGCTGGTGTATTCTGAAGAAGTCATTTTTTGCAAGCCACATACACATTGCAAATATTTTGCTGTATTATAGTAGATGTTTTAGAAAAGAGCTGGGCTGTTTTTGGAGGCTTTTAAAAATGTGAAATATATTTTTTGCTGTCGGAAGCCTTTGACATCACATTTAGGATAGTCATCTGTGAAGGGTTTGTGTCCATTCTGTCATCAGTTGATCAGCATCAAGATGTAATTTTGGCTATAGAATGATTAGTCACATGACATTTTATAGCTCAAGTGATTGGCTCAAAAAACTGAGCATGAGCAAAGATCCAAGGTTGTGTATTTTCGTAGGTTGACATTGATGTGAATAGGAATGTTCTCGGATATCCTTTTCCAGGTATTACAGACCTACTTGTTTAGAATATAATATTTTAAGATGTAGATTTATAAAATAAATCCTTTTGACTTAAATTAATTCAGTCATGCAGTGCAATATTATATGAAATCCAATTATATTTTTCTCTTCTCCTCTCATTCTCTATAGTCTTGATTTCCTAATCCAAAGAGTGACCAATTGTGTGATCGACACATAAATCTGTGTGTGTGTGTGTGTGTGTGTGTGTGTCTGTGGTTCTATCTGTCTGAGAGCCCCTTGTGCCCCCTCTGCTAGATTTGTGTTAAGAGAAAATCACCCACCACCATCACACAGAATCTATCCCACCCTCCCGGTTAATATGGCTTTTATTCCATTTCCATTTTCATGGAGTCATTTTGCCCCTCTTTTATAGAAGGTCATAAAATATATAGTGAATTTTTTAAGCATTCTGCATAACATTTACATTTTCTATTGTATAGATGTGATCAGGGAAAGGAGACTGAATAAAACATTCATGTCAGAGGCCATTTCTTCAGTGACATTTGAAGCTGTATCTATCATCGCTCTCTCTCTCACTCTAGTGCAGGCAGGGGGACAAATGATGGTGCGGTGTTTAACGGCGGCCTCTGCGAATAAAAGTCCTACTCTGCCTTCACATTATTGCCCGCTGGCTAGTTGATGAAAACACATTTTCCAGAGATAAGAGAAAAGTCAAATAGAAATGTCGCTTAGTTGTGTGTGGTTTGCGTGTATTCGTGTGTGTGGGTTTGTGAAAATTGAAACATGTCAGTGAAAAATCCACATTTCAAACATTCACCTTCTTGCATCACGTAACAGTAATGCAAAGCAGCTACAGTCCAATGCCGTCATTTCACTTAGCAAGGATTTCAGTGTGATTGTAGCTTGAAGACACTGAAAGAAAACACAAAACTAAATGCAGGCATGATGAAATGAAAAGCAATGTTAAAAATGAAAAATTTTTCAATTAGCCCCGTCATGATTTTTACAGCTTTTATACTTGACATGTGAACTGATTTGATTGGTCTGAATGAGCAGAGTGGGCAGGGCAATAATTTTCAGAGGCTAAATGGGAAAAGCAACGTTCACTTATAAGGTCTATTATATTTACAAAACACTAGAAACTAAAAGAAACTTATGAATTTCGACCATATTTCACTTTAAATTACTTTTTAAAATCATTTAATTTAGTATACTCTATTCTTTTAAATTGTAATTTTGTGCAGTTGTGCTTTTTGTTTAACAGGTAACCAAATGAACACAAGTGTAATGTGAGTTTCTCTCTGTGTGTGTGTGTGTATATATGTCTCACATTACACTTGTGTTCAGTTGGTTCTGTTAAAACAAAAAGCACAACTGCACAAAATTACAATTTAAAAGAAATTATGAAACCGTCTTTTCGAGTGTCTATAGCTTGTTTATGAGTAATGATATATGCAATTATTCCTTAGAGCACTAAACTAATTTGTCTCTCTCTCACACACCTACACACACTAAGTGGCTCAATTGAGTTTTAGGAAGAAAAGTTGCTTTTTAATGTTATGTTTCATATTGTTCTTATTTTGACACCCACAAGTCTAACGCAGTCAGTCTGAACTGAACATATCGCTCACATACACTTTAACACATTTAACTGGTATGCCATAATTCATTTCCTATAATGTAATGTCATGTTAAAATTAAATCAGGAATAATAGTATTCAATGGCAAGAGGGTTTGTTTCTTTGTTCACAATTTTGTTGTATATTTTCTATGAACAAAGTAGCTGGGATTTCTGTTATTGTAATAGCTCTTGAGGTTTTGTTACATAATTTCAACATAAAATGAAAACCAAAAAGTAGCTCATTTTACATTTCATTCAGTCATACATAGAAAACTTTGCAAACATCACTTCATTTTGACAGTAACAAAGACCCAGTGCTCTCTCTCTCTCACACAGTGTGAAGTAAATCTTGGTGTCTCCTTTAAAATGCAACCCAAATAAGCACTTCCTCCAGGTACTTTAGGTCCTATCAGGTTTGATTAAATCAATGCACTAAAATGCAAAAAAGAACACTGCAGAAAGACGCGAACATAAGCAGCAGAAGAGGGTCTCTCCTCTCCACGTGTGAACACATATCATGGCAGACTCTTCTGAGGGAGGGGAGGAGTGTGACCACACACACACACTCGCTCCGCCATGCTAGTACGGAGGCTATGCTCTCGTCGCTGCTCTCTGACCCCAGTGGCAGTCCTGTCTTCCTCTTCTGCGGTCTAGACCCACTCCCCCTCTCCGCCAGTCAGAGCGAGGCTCTCGCCGCCTGCCTGCGCCGCTTTCCTCGCCAGCTTCGCCGGAGGGTCTCCCAGAGTCGAGGGTCCTGCCCCTGCCCGGCTCCGAGTGCCACCTCTTCGGCTACCGACATCTGCATTCCCCGGTGTGTATGGAGCAACATCTTTAGAGGTGGGCGAGAGAGAAAGAGGGTCTTCCAACCTCTTCTGCTGTGTTATGCAGCCTGGAAATGCACGCTTAGACAGGGAGCGAGAAAAAAATAAGACACAAAAGGGTTAGAGGTGGCTTGTTATTGAGCGGCGGTGTCAGCGCGGCCACTCACCCAGGGAACGATCACCCTTCGCGGCAAGCGTGTTGGACACATTTACGCGCGACTTTGCGTGTTTTTAACAGGAAATATCGGGGATATTGTAGTCGGGGGTGATGTAGGTTCAACTTCATCTCTTGTGCTCTCTCTCTGAAGAGTGTAGTCCGCACTTGAAGCATGATTTGCAGCCTTTATTTTGATCGTTCCCTCGCATTGTTCAGCCGGAAGCGGTAGAGTTGTGCGCAAATAAATATCACGCGGGGATAGACGTTATATATTAAACACAACGGCAGGTTTTTACGCAGCTATGCTAGTGGTTGCTAGCTAGCTGAGCTGAGGTGAGGAAAGCAATGTTTTATTTTTTGTTGCAAAATACGCAGGTTAATGAGGATGAATGTTGTTTTATGCAGAAATTGAGCATTTTTAAAAACGGTTTGATTTACGTTCAACAAACTAGTATATCACCTGTAGAGTTATTTGTAATTTACTGAAAGAGTTTGACGTGAAATCAAAGATAACTTAATGACAGATAACGTTACGTGGAAATAATTGTAGTATACAACATATCGTATAATGTCGTGTATGATAATACTTTTAAATTAAGTTAAAATGAATGTAATTATAATTATGGTTGTTATTTGTATGTCATTAGTACAGTACTGTAGATTTAAATACAGTAAGCATAACTAACTATAATGTGTTACAGTTAAGTGAAAAAAATGAAATGAAGACTTTTGCAAAATAATACTTATAATATTAATGGTATGAAGTAAAGCTACAGAGATATTGAAGAGGGAACGGGAAAACAAGATTCATAAATTAGACAAGACTCATAAATTATTCATCAAAAAAACATCGAATTGATTGACAGAATACTACTGACTAATTCTTGCATGTCCAGAACTACAGAACAAAATGCAAGAATTCAGAATTCATTTGCATCACATTTGAAATGCTTTCAGTCTTGTACACATTTAAATTGTAAATGTGTACACGTGTCTTGCCTTGCCTTACACATTTAAATATGTTGTATTTAGTTAAATAAAATGATTTTTACACACACCTGGCTGGTACAGTAGATAGATAACATGGAGAGAGCAGTGTCACTCATTACTCAATTTTTAGGATGTACGATGATGGGTTGTTGTCTCATTAAATGATGTGTAGTAAGGTGTCAAATCTAAATCTAGTGCGGTAAACCAGTATTTAATCAAAAACACAAAAACGTACTTTGTGGCGGGTGTTCCTGTGCAGAATAGTGATTATTATTTATGCATTAATTTAAACATTAAATATTATAATGGTCATTGTAATTGTTTCCCATATATATAATTTTCTTTTATTTGTATTATATTTAAATATTTTTCAAAGAATAAGATACAAACTGACAGCAACATGCTATACATTTTCTACAGTAAATATGTTATAACATATTTTTAAGTAAATGAATGAAAGTTGTTTTGAGAGGGTTCGATTTTGTAGTCGGCTGGAGATGTTGATTCGCTGCTCACCTTTCTGTTTCTCAGCTTTTTCTGTTAAGTTTTGTTTTCAACACTTTTGCTCAGGTTTTGTTGTCAGTTTGATTAGTCAGTTCAGTTGAGTTTTGGATCATGGTACTGTTATATTGCTCAGTCATTCATCTGTCATTAGACACTGTTAAAGTTTTGGTTAAGTTTGCAGCTGGAGTTTGTGTTGTTGATTTTAGAGGAGATTCTGAACAACTTTATTAGTGATGAGCATACAGTTGTTTTTATAATAAATTCAAAGTGGAAATTATATGAAACTCATTATAAATTGTAATTTTGAGATGTCTGCCAGAAAAGCTTTAAATATTTAATCAGATGTATTCTAGAATAAATGTGTGTGTTTATTGTAGTAACATCTAATTTAACTTTTTTCTTTACAAGACGAAAATATACTTTAATATGACTAAATAAACCTAAAAAAACCTGTCATTTTTAGGTAGAAATTAATGATTTTCCATTTTCACTTTTATTTTGCAGTGAATTACTCTTTACATTCATATAAAGAATATAAAATGGATAATAGACATTCAAGCAAGCAATTACTGTACATAATTAAAATTTTGCACAATACAACTACAACTATTTAGTCATTTCAATGTCTTCCCTTGTTTTACCATGTATATTTTTATGTATTACTCATACATTCATTTTATGCAATTGATTTCACATCATAATCTTTTTTTCTCTCACTGTATCTTTACAGATAGTATCTCGTCCTCCATCTCGGCACTTTCAAGGGTTCTTTTCCGTGTTTAAGTGGTGGTTCTGAAGGATGCTGACTGCGTGGGTCGCTCCAGGGTCCTGGTGAAGTGTCTCATGTGTCACGTGGAGAAAGAATGGCCCACGGAATGCCGTCACAAGGCAAAGTGACCATCTCGGTGGACGAGTACAGCTCCAACCCCACGCAGGCCTTCACCCACTACAACATTAACCAGAGCCGCTTTCAACCGCCACACGTGCATATGTGAGTAACAAGGGACAATGCACAGAAATACAGACCTGTTTGCTTTTTTTATGCATTCCGTTTAGTTTCGTTTTTAGCTATTTTGTTTTTTGCTCACTTTGAAATTAAGAAATGCATCAATTCATACTTTATTCCTGGTCTGTCAGGCTCGCAGTATCACAAAGCCTTATATGTCCAACATGGTGTTTGTTCCTGAATAAGCAAACTTTGTAATAGGTTTGGACTGCATCAGACACAAGATACCTTTAATAGCATAATGGTCTACACGGGTCAAACAGAAATAGATAGTTACGATTACGATTTTCAGGCTCTTGGTTTTTATATCGACCTCAGCTGTGGCACAATATTACATATTTCAGGTGAAACGTACACCGAACTCTTTGTCAAATACATTTTCATGCACTGCATTATGTGCAATTTAAAACCGGATTGTTCACTCCACGTGTAGCGGTTTGTGGTTTGGAGGAAAAAGTCTTTGCAGCAGACATGCTGTTTGAGCATTATTCATTTTTGGGTAAGGTCTTCCAGACTGTTGAATGTGATGCTAAAATTACTACTGTAGCATGCTGGTGTTATTACAAAAGCTTTTACACTATTTCAATTCTTATTGTCCGTTTGATAGGCTGATAATTTTGCATGATCCGTTCAGTTAAAGTATAAAGCGAGCCGTTTTAACACAGCAAGTGTTTTTGAGCTGTAACATGATGAAGATTAAAAAGGCTGCATCGTTATTTAAAGCCAGTGGTGTTTGCATCACCCGGTAAAATCGTGTTTACCAGAGGCTAGCGTTGCTGGACATAAACACACACAACTGCACATTTGCTTGAAGAAATGGGGGACGTTTAGAAAAGGCCATGTTTTTGGTTTCTAGTTAGCATGCACTGTGATTTGCTTTACTTTAAAGCTGCATCTACCTGATCTGGTCCTTAAAGTCGGCCTGAAATAAAAAAAAATAAATAAAATAAAAATCTGTGAAATTTATGGAGAAAAAAAACAGTAGCTGTGGTTGCCTGAACTTTACTGTAAAAAAATATGGAAGCAATATTCTCATATTGAAATTAAATTTACAGTAAACAATGTGTATAATTTATAGCTGAAATAATGTTAATATACCAAATTACTAAAATCTGTTTTTTACATTTATAATATACTAATAACCAGCTTAAAAACACATATGGTCAAGAGAAGATGTAACGTAAATCCCTAATGTACATGACTAATAAGAAAAACAAAGAAGAACCGTAATTTCAGGGAAAACCCATCAAATGTGAGCTGTCACAGAATTCTGGGAATGTATGTGTATGTTTTTTTCACCGTGAATTATAAGATGACTTCTCTTATGAGTTCTTTTGCACTTTCAAAAACTGTACATTTAACAGTATTTCACTGTAAATTACATGAAATATCCCATTAGAGCTATTACAGATTTTCACTATAGTAGGGCTGTCAAAAAAAAAATAGAATTTCGAATATTCGTCTAATTTAAAATAAAAATCCACAATTTTAGGTGTGCGTCAGGTTGCCTTATCAGTGGCGCACGAGATGCGATGACGATATAAGTGTCATTGCATTTGAATGTTTTTGTTAGTCTATCCAGTTGAACCCACTAGATGCAGCGCTGCTACGTTGTTCATTCAAAATATTGCGGGAAAAAAGAACATCAATGCGGAGATGATGTTGTTTATGTCAAAACCGAAACCAAACCGTTCACACAGGAAGCATATTTATCACATTTTCTAGAGGGGCGTCTATCACCGTTGCACTCGCGTCTCGCACAAGAGAGCGGCATGTTTAGAAAGCCATGTAAAATTAATGTAATTTCAACTTTTTAAAAACATGTCTCAAGACTTTATGACGGGTTTTCCCCATCCTACTGCATCTCAAGTTTTTAAATGAAGAAAATACTCTTTATGATTGGTTTTCGTTCCTTTGTATTAAACTATACATACATGCATGATTCTGTTTTGTTTCTAATTGTTTAAGCAACTTTAATTATATAAGGTTTATAAACATTATTTTAAAAATTATGCACTTTTTTCAAAGTTAGTCGTGTTATTTTATGATGCTTTGAAGAAACGTGCATAATATTTTGTTCGATGCGCCCTCTTGTGGCCTCAGGAGAGAAGCCAAAAGCTTTTTTTCCCACCTAACTGAAATTATGCCTTTTAAATTTGAATATAATTCGAATATTGATAATATTTGAGTACAAAATTCGAATTTAGTTTTTCAGCCATTTTGACAGCCCTACACTATAGAGTAAGGGAATTTTTTTACCGTTAAATTTATGATCATATTGTTTAGGGCTGCACGATAAATCGCATGCGATATTTAATGCGCATCTTGTCAGAAAGCCGGTTCTGTAATCAGCGGTAAATCTCCATCACCTGCATGCTTTCACATTGAGCAGCATTAACTACACAGAGCCGTTGTTCACTGACGAGCTGCGCAAAAAATCACGCGAATATGAACGTGGTTTTGCGCAGCTCGTCAGTGAACAACGGCTCTTTGATTACAGAACCGGCTCTACTGATAAGATGCGCGTTAAATATCGCATGCGATTTATCGTGCAGCCCCAATATTGTTAGTTAATTTAAATGGTACATTTTTAGATTACCTGGAAAACAATTTTTTTTTTTTTACAGTGTGAACTGACGTTCGAAACCCGTTTTATATCAGTAGCATATTTCTTTGTGAATGGATACAAAAAAATGTAGGTTTGCAATTGTCCATTGAGAGTTATTCTTTGTGGCAGTTCCACGCTAGAGTTTGCAGTAAAATTTAAAAGACTAGCTAGTTGGTTGATGTCAGCTAAGAAGGAAAGATGCTCCAGAGAAAGATTATACATATTTTTTTTACTTTGGAATAATATAGATGAATTGGCTTAAGAAACCGGCTCAGTTTGGATTTCACGCTGACTTCATGCAGCCCTCGTGTAGGTGGTTTAGCAGGGAATTTTGTGACACTACACAGTAGACGTTGTGTGTTCAGACGATCGTGGCCACGACCCAGTTATGCACATGATGGCCCCTGTGCATCGACAGCAATTACCCTCGTTAAGGCTCGCCAACGTGACCCCAGGAGTCAGAGGAAGACTTTTTCTTTTTTGCAGCACTCTGGCCAAGAACTAGCACGTTTGACAGTTTTGATTCCCTCCCCTTTCTTTTAGGCACCTATGTTTTTTTTTTCTCCCCTTGTTTGCATGGAACGAATTCACAGCAGCAGAAAGCATATGCTCTGGTGCTAGTCATGTCGCCTCAACTAGTGGAGCTTGTGTGATTTTTGGGAAGATTTATGGAAAGGAAATGCTGAGCACATTGCTTAACAATATCTAAAGCTGACATTTTTTTTTACACTTTAATTTTTAAAGTGTTTAAAAGGCAGCACTCGATTAAAACTCTTCTTCTCATCCACAACGTTTTTGTGTAGATAATTTGAGCCTCAGATTTGCATTACTTTGCTGGGGTTTTTTTAAAGAGAGAAATTACTTAAGAAATGTAAGATTTAAAGTTTGAAAATGTTGATAGTGTTTCAGAATCTAAAATACTGCATTGTGATTTGATCTTTCTTGCATTTATTTGTATACTGCATTGCAATTGGTCTTCTCTCTTGTGCTTATTTGCATATTGAAATGTGATAAGTCTTTTCTTTTTTGCATCTATTTAACCACATAGCTGGCTTTGCACTGAAGTTAACGTTGCGTTTTATGTTTATTCTCAATGACAAATTTCTGATGCAGCATTTACGCAGAACCAAAGCTTAAATTCCAAATTACCTAAAGCTTTAACTATACTTTTGCTGCCTTGTAAGCACTGCTAGTCTAGTTATATTTTTTATTTACTGTCTCCCCTACATCCTTTTTTATTTGTTCCCTCTCTTTCTTTTTCTCTCCCTATCTTCTTTGTGATTGAAATCGGTTGTTCACCTGCTCCCTCATTACCCCTCCTCCCCACAGCCGCCTTACACCTGAAATTGGTTGTTGCCTTTTTTTCTTTTTAACCTGATCTAACAGAAATAACAGAGCACGGCCCGGCAGCTCCTGTGCCTTTATTTCTCCAGCCCTCTTTAATAAGAGTGTAATTGATCTTTGGCTCTGTTGCCTTGCTCTTTAATGTGCACGTGTTCAGGCCTGAATGGATGCCAGCCTAAAAATACTCGGCTGTTCAATACAAAGTAGATCGATTATGAAATCACAAAGAGAAAATGGAAAAAACTATAGTCCTGTTTTCGATAGATTCATCAATGGGATAATGCTTTAAGTAGTGAATGTGAATTTGCAGTCTGAATTGAATGTGATATAAAATGAAAAATTCAAGAAAACATGCAGCATGTCCAATGTAGTCTGATTCGCAAGCAAATGACTCTTATGAGCTGATTCATTTTTAGGAAAAAAACACGGATTGTGATTCATAAACAAATGACTCTTGAATCATTCAAAAAGAGTTACCGTTTGGAATCAGTCTGTCAAGTTGTTCCCTACTGAACTTCACATTATGAATGATGTCTGTCTCGAAATGAAGCAAATTTAGTGTACTTAAGGTTTATGAATTAATTCTCTATCATTACTAACTTGATTAATTAAAATCAATTAATAGAAAAATAATAAAAATGCATTTCGCTAGGATTGCAATTGCAATATTGCGCACTTCGTTTGTAAGTCTGCAAGACTGAATTATCCCTCACTTTTCCCCTCTCTTTCTCTTTTTTTTTTTTCATTGTGCGGCTCTGATCGGCTTCCTCTAGCCTTGTTAATTTCTCAACCTTTGAATAATTAAAACGCTCATAAAAGTGCGAAGCGTTTAAGAATTTCAACTCGACGTTCATTTCATCCCAGCCACGGGGAAGAAGAGGGTGTTCATATCGAGCTAAACGAATGCAGAATGCTTTCTAGCGCACAAACGAACCACAGAATTTTGTATCCGCTTTGAATTCAGTGTTGTTTGAATTACGTCATGTATTTATCTTATTGCTGGACAGGAGGAGAAATAAGAATATTGTTGCTT